AATTAATTATTCCGGATTAATTAATTAAAATAAGATATGAATAAGTAAATAATTAATCAAATAAATCAATTAGCTTAAAAGAAAAGAAAAAGAAATTAGCCATGATTGATTAAAATATGCAAATTAATTAATTCAAATTGCAAGCATAGAATAAAGAACAATAGAATAAAAAAAAAGCATAGAATAAAAAAAACAATAGAATAAAAAAAAGCATAGAATAAAAAAAAAAAACAAAAGCATAGAATAAAAAAACAAATTATGGAATAAAGAAAAAAAATCTTTTCCACCTTTATAGGTACGCTATTAATTAAAATTGCAAGCAGATGGAATAAAAAAAAAAAAATCTTTTCACCTTTATAGGTACGCTTTCTTGAAGCACAGAATCGTAAATTAGCCGCTGATCTGAATTTATTACGTGGTCGTTGGGGCAAAGATTCTGTAAATGTTCGTACAATGTTTGAAGGCGAGCTACAGGTATAGTATTTTAAATGAAAGTTTTAAACTTTTTTTTTAAAAAAAAAAAAAAACCATTTCACTTACAGTATTCAATGTTTTTATAAATTCCATGAATTTAAGTATTGGATTTTTTTCCAATTCCTGCATTTACATTATTCAATTTCCGCATTTGCATTATTCAATTTTTTTTTCCAATTCCAAAATTGACAATATCCAACTTCCTTTTTTTTTTTCAATTCCAGAAATTTATGATACTGCAAATGTGAAATAATTTTTGAAATAATTAATATATCAATATTAGTTGGGAGAATTATTTAATAGAAATTAATAGTTTTAATGAAATTTTGAATAATTTTTAATTATTTAAGTTTAATGAAATTTTAAATTGTTTTTAATTATTTAACATTTGTTGTTACTTATTTGCTAAAGCAATTTCAAAATGATTTATCTTCAATTTTAATTTTTTGTCAAAAGAAAAAAAAATCATTTTTAGATTACTTATTAATTTCCTATATACTATATTAATCTTTTAGGAAGCAAGGAAAATAATAAACGATACGAACAACGAACGCGAAGAATTGGAAAAACGAATTCGGAAATTGATGGATGAATTGATGGAATACAGAAAACGGTAATATACAGTAATTACTTCACAAAAAAAAAAAAAACAACATAAATATAAAAATTCTTTATCAAAGAAAAAAAAACCCTTTATTATTTTTCTATTTACAGATATGATGATGCACTTCAAGCACATCGAACTGATCGGGAAACCATTGATGAGTTATTGGTATGTTCCGGTTTTCCGGATTTAATAATAATTTACACTTATTATTGATTGCAATACGGCAGCATTTTTTCCTTTTTTCTTTTTTACAAACTTTATCATTATTACAAAATATAATATTTGCATAATTTAGCATAATTTAAATAAAAAATAAAAAATAAATGCATAAATGATGAGAATATGAGAAAAAAGGAATAAAAATGTATTAATAATATAAGCAAATGATTACTTATATTAATTAGTCAATCATTAATTACCATTAAATTCAATTCAAATTCTTATCAACCGTTCTTATCATGCCGTTATCATTTACAGTAATTTATAAAAAGTAATAAACTATAAATGATTTACTATCAACTAATTGCTATTTCTTTTTCTTTTTTTTTT